ACCAAAACTCTATTAAAAAAAATATATATATTTACTATTTTTTTAATGCATTAAGTATTTTGTGAACAGGACACGAAAAGTAAAAGGTCCACTTAGTAGCTGAAGCAGCTTTGTTATTTTTTCACTGGACGACACTTAATATTGTGCTGGGGACCTACTACACCACTCACTGCTTCTACTGCAGCTATTACCAAATCCTTTGCCACATCTGCTCCTCCTACTACAACTCTTACTATGCAATTGTTAGCAAAGTCACTACTACTACTCTTAATCATTATGCTACTACCTCTGCAACTCCTACTAGTATATTTATTGTGCTCCTACCACACCTACCTCTACTGCTCCTACCACAACCCTTGGTATACTGCCACAGTAACTATCACACCCACTGCCACAACTACTACTCTTACCACTACCTATGCTACTGTACTTACACCCACCAGTTTTACTACCATTCATCCTACCACTACCCTTAACCCCCCTGGCGGTATTCCCGAGTATAGCTCGGGGTAAAGTTTCAGTACCAGAAGCGGTAACTCCAAGCTACACTCGAGAATACCCTGCGACGCTGCTCCGGGACCTGTTCTTCACTTGCCTTGTCCTGCGCTCTCGCGTTGTCCCTCCTGCAGTGTCCCCTGTAATGTCCTCCGGCGGCTGCCGGCATCTGTCTTCCGGGTTCCGTCCCCTGCGACATCAGGACGTACAGGGATGGAACGGCGGGAAATTTAAAAATGTGAAAAAGTGACATTCACTAAAATCAGATTACGTTTACTGTATCAAACCATTTCACATACCGTATTTTCCGGCGTATAAGACGACTGAGCGTATAAGACGACCCCCTACTTTTCCTGTTAAAATATAGGGTTTGAGCTATACTCGCCGTATAAGACTACCCCCCTTCCAACGCACACCAAATAAAAATGAAAAAACATCAGATTTGATTTCAATATGGTATGCTATTTCAGTATGGTATTCCAATGATGGGGTGCTATTCCTCCCACTGACACCAATGATGAGGCACTACTCCTCCCACTGACACCAATGATGGGGCACTATTTCATCCACTGACACCAATGATGGGGCACTATTCCTTCCACTGATACCAATGATGGGACACTATTCCTCCCACTGACACCAATGATGGTGCCCCATCATTAGTCAGTGGGAGGAATAGTGCCCCATCATTGGTGTCAGTGGGAAAAATCGTGCCCCATCATTGGTGTCAGTGGGAGGAATAGTGGCCCATCATTTGTATCAGTGGGAGGAATAGTGGCCCATCATTGGTGTCAGTGGGAGGAATAGTGTCCCATCGTTGGTGTCAGTGGGAGGAATAGCGCCCCATCGTTGGTGTCAGTGGGGGAGGAACAGTGCCTCTTCATTGGTGTCAGTGTGCAGGAGGAATAGTGCCCCATCGTTAGTGTAAGTGGGGGAGAGGAGCGGCTGCTCCTTCTTCCAGTTCGGACCCGCTCAATTTTCGCGGGGCCGCTCGGCTCCGCCTCCTCGCCGGTGATTGGTCGCCTGTGTGCCTTTCCAGTGCTGGCGCCCAATCACCGGTGAGGAGGCGGAGCCGAACGGCCGCATGACCATCGAGCGGCCGAACTGAAAGAAGGAGCAACCGCGATTCCTGAACCGGATCGTCGTGGGACCGGAGCCAGGTAAGGTACAGCAGCCCCTCTGCCCACCCCTGTACTTAGTGTCCATTGGAGGAGGGGGGAGGGCGGCGCCGCGCTGCCCCTCGAAAAAGTGCCGCCCTGACACCGGCTCGCACCGGCGTATAAGACGACCCCCGACTTTTCAGAAGATTTTCAGGGGTTGAAAAGTCGTCTTATACGCCGGAAAATACGGTACATTTTGTCCCGAGTGCTTTGTCCTGTGCCCTGCCTGCATTTTTACTGTTCTTTCTGCCTGGAAACTGAGAAATGTCCATGGCGTCCAAAAAGCGTCCCTTTAGGTCAAAAGCGGTTTTAGACCAGCTAGAGAACAGCGATAGTAAATTAGAACCACTTGCAGAATTGAGGGATAATGATTCGTGGGGAAATTCGTCATCAGACGGTGAAAACGATTTTGCGACTTTGCTCAGTGATGTGCGAACTTGGCGCTATATTTCAAATTTCAGTGTTTTTGGTTTGATTATATTATTGAATTAATATTATTATAATAATTTTTTTATGATTATTAAATTATAATTTATGATTTCGTGTTTCAAATTTTAACATACCTGGGATGTTTACTAGACTCTTGTTCGGACAGATTTCAGTGAGTTATTCCTAAAAATTACAGGCCTACAATAAAAAAAAACAATATTTCCATGCAAAAAAAGTACCTCTTTAAGCACAGAAATATGGACATGATCATACCACTAGGGAGGTTAATCTGCTACAACTTCTATTATGCTACTACTACTACCGCCACAAACACCCAATGCCACAACTATTACCCCTCTCACCACTGCTATTAATCTGCTAGTTCTACTACTACCCTCAGTATGCTGCTATTACTACTACAACACCCATTGCTACAACTACTACTACCACCATTACTACTCTGGGCATGTTATGATTACCCTATCCACGGCTATAAATACTAATTCCCTCAGCATTACCCTGCTGCATCCGCTGCTTCAACTATTGCTACTTTCCCCACCTTACCTCTGCCCTTGCTATGCTAATACTACTACTCCTACTATTGTATTGTAAAACCAAAATATTACAGCTCATACTACTAATATAATTTATTTTCAGTGCTGTTACCCCTGCTGCTGCTGACACTTCTTTACCATTACTCTGTTTTTATTACTACCCCTATTCTATTGCTCTCTAATCTACTACTCTTACACCAAGACTAAAGCTGCTACAGTAACTCCTACCCCTAGCACTGCCCATCCTGGGGTACTACTACATTCACTGCCACAACTACTGCCCATACCCTACCACTGCCTCTACTGGGAAAATCCACTGCAGCTGTATTTAATTTACATATAGTTTGGACCTTGTGAAATTGCATTTTTTCAGAATATTGTTATTGTTGAAAGTATATGGTTAAGGCTTAGACTTCTCTATGCTGCTTTTAATCGGAAGCCAGAAAATTTTTAAAGATATAAGAGATCAGAAACGGTTACTGTTTTACTGGAAATCAAAGAAATCAGACTATGGAAACCCTCTGTTGGGGTACTGCGTGCCTTTTAAAGGTAATGCCACAAACCTCCAGCAGTAGGGCGCTACGCAGCAGGCAATGATTTGCTATTAAATACAGCATCCAAAGTCAGTTTAGTGCTTATTAAAATGATAGGTTTCACCAAGCACAATAGAGCTCATTGGATTTTATTTGAAATGCAGATTGGAGAGAGGGAGTTACAAAAACAGGATAAAAGAAGGTCTCCTTCAACCGCTATGGCCATTTCAGAAAGCCTGGATATGGACATGTGGGACAGGCAGATCCTCTGTTGCGGGATTCTTCATTTTAATGTAATAGATTTGAGCTGGAGGTTTTCCACAGCCAAGTATGAGATCTCCTCGATCGAAAAAACGGACTGCAAATGAGAAAGGCTTTCCGTGCAGTAACTGTATGGTGATCTTGTCTTGCTCAAACTGCAAGCAAACCTGTAAGAAAAGAGGTGGGATAGTGTCAGCGTGCTGGACTATAAAGTCAATGAGTGTTGGCCATAGAGACAAAGACTATCACCAAACCATTCATTTCAACAAAATTCTTTTCACAAGATGATTTGTACATGCAGCTCATCTTCTATATTATGTGTTGCAGAAAAGTGTTAGTGAAAAGGAAAAAAAAAAATAGGATGTGCTTCTGTTTTATTGACAGGGTCTCTTTGAGGGCAGTATATCTGGTACCTAGAACTATAACTGGAGCCCTCAGGAGACCAATAGCTGTTGGCCAGTTTGGAGTCCCTGTATGCCAGCCATTCTCACCCAGGTTTCCACAGAACCCCAAGGTTTCTTTAGAGGAAGCTATGGGTTCCTTGAGCTTTGGCTGATTAACCTCCCATTTGATGATACCTACTTATTTCAATGTCCAACACTGATTGGTGTGACCAGCTTTATGTCACCAATTCTCTTTTTCACATTTTGACCACCACTGTAAGTGGGGCATTCTTACCACTGGTCACCAATGTTAGGGGTGGGGCATTTTCTCCCCCACTGACTACCAATTGTTTTTAGCAGGGGTTTCCCAATATCTGAAAATTTCAAGGGTTCCTCTGGGGGCAAAGGTTGAGAAAGGTTGCTGTATGCCATGCCAGCTACATCGTGGCTACAGTACATGCCAAAGACAAGAACTGCGCAGGGGTGCCGTGACTGACTGAGCACTGAGGCTCTGGCATTTGACAGTTAATCCTAGGGGGCAGGGCTTAACATTTGATGTGTGTAAAACAAATGGAATATTTTGCCTCTCTCAGTTATGTTATCTACAAATCACCATGAACAAAACCATGTCTGCAAAGTATCCAATTATTGTACCTTTTTCTATACTGAACAAAAAATGTCAACCTTCCAGGGGCCCCAAATACACATCTTTTCTGATAAGGACCCCTTCTGCCATGGCTCCAATTCATGTGTCCTTGAAGGGGGTCCCATCTACTTTGACGACTTAGGGTAAATTACAATATATTGGCGAGAATACTATCATTTCTTATTCTACCCCATATAGAATTAAACCTTGTCACTTTTAGTTTCTGAGGAATTCTGCCCCAGAGATGAATTTGATGAACAGAGCATTCATCAACAGTAATATCCATTTCCTGTATCCCCCCCGCAATAACACTTTGGTATCTCATTGCATTTCTCCCCATCACACACATTGAACCAAATATTTGCTAGGCGGTATATCTCAGCACACAATGGCAATCTGATGGAATCCATTGGATCTTCTTTTGTGGGAGGTTCTCATCCTTCATGGAATGAGCTGAAGAGGCGACCATCATAGCAAGGCCTATATACCCTTGACCTAAACCATCACTGGCTGCCTACTGCATTTTTCAGAGATGGATATTATGTGTCCAATATGTACAGTGATGCCACCTTGCCATATCCAACATTTGTTCTGCCCCTCCCAGTGTAGATGTACCATGGTGTCTGACCCCTCCTGGAAGGGAAGAAGCTTTTCCTGTGCTCTGCTCCCCAGACATTGTCCACCATCGAGTTCAAGATTATCTTGTGCTTGTCCCCAAGGGCATCAAATCGAGGGTTAAAGTGCAGCACCAAATTCTTAGCATCTGTTCCCAAGTCTATGGAAAACCTAGAAAAACAGAAACTGCAATTATTCTGCTCAGCTAACCTTGTGAGACATAGTACTTGAGTCATTCACCAGTGGCATTCCCATGGGTTTCAGAGGTACTTCTGCTGCTTTTAATGATAAAGAGCAAATTATAAATAAATTATATTAACCAATACTTTTAGAGACGTAAAATGTTTGCTTGAAAAGCTATTTATAAACAAACCGCTTCCTGACGTGACCCCACTCCAAAAATGACTTAAAAGTGAACCTGCAGCCGCGATATAGACATACGGTTATTTACATATTCTTATGAAGCGGTAAGCAAGCTTTAAGGCCTAGTTCATGCAAATGCAGTTTGCTTTTGATCTGTTTTTGCAAGGCCTTTTATGGTTTTACGCATGCATTTTTGCCATGTTTTTTAAGCTTTTTTTGTTAACGGGGAAATGTTTTTGTTGCTGGGCAGAATAAAAACACAAAATCCGGCAAAAACTTACTGCATTCATTTCGGCTGCATCTCCATTGAACTCTATTGTAGCAAAATTCTGCTTTTTTTTGCATTTAAAAAAGTCCCTGACCCTTTCCAAAAACACAGCTGCTCAAAAAAACATAGATGTGAATGCGTCCCATATGAAACCATGATAAATGGACTGTAGTGTGTTTCTGCAAAAAGCATTAAAAAATGCATTGGTATAAACTAGGCCCAAAACAATCCCTCGCTGACATTTCTAGTTGCAGTTGCTGTGGAACAATTTATCCTTAAAGTCCCCAACAGAACCAGTTTGTCTCAGTTTTCTGATTTCCCATCCTACTAGTGAGAGAGGGAGAAGAGTGATCTGAGGTTCTGAGCCTCAGTTTGTTGAGGGAGCAGAGTGACCTGTGCAACTTCTGGGAAAGGGAGCAGGGCACGTTGAGCTGCTGCTGGGAGATGAGCTGCAGACTTATTACTAGTAAAATGAGCAGGGTGAACTGCTGGGAGAAGGAGCAGAGCGAGCCAAGCTGCCGAGTCACTTCCCAGATAAAGAGCAAAGTGATCTGAGATGCTCAGACTGCAGACTCACTGCTTTGGGAGGGGAGAGTCACTACTAGGAGGGGGAGCTGAACTAACAAGTTACTGCTGGGAAGGTGAGTTGAGAGCCTGAGTCACTGCTGGGAGATGGAGAACGACGAGAGAGGAGTTGCTACTGCCTTGTGCCATTTCACTCCCTCTTGCAATTCCAAGGGTGTAGGGACCTCTAACTAGATATGTGATAGTGATGAAGTGCCTTCTACTGTAAATTTTGAAGATGAATGTTTCCAGTGCCTGCAGCTATACAGGTTAGTGGGGTCCAGGAGGAGGAAAGAAAACAGTTGTCATATTTCATACGATGGCTGTTAAGCCTGAAAAGTTTGACATTTTGTCACAATGTAGAAGCACAAATGTTTGAGCTACATTTTCTCTGAGCAAAACAATTTGATGTCAGGTATTATTTGAGGGACCATACATACCAAATTCCCAGTGAGGAGGAGGAGTTAGTATGTACTGTACACACTTTTTTACTTTTGGCAAATTACTGTATTATACAGAGCAGACATACAGTATATTGTATAATAAGTAGCTGAGGCTAGAACCATGACTTACTGTTTAAAGCCTTCTGGAATGAATCCCTCCACCTCCACGCAGTGACCAGGTTTAAGACCAAAGTTATTTAAGACAAAAATCTGTTTGGGAGAAGGTTAGAATTTTTACACCCTGTATAATAATATGGATAATTTTTACACCCTGTATAATAATATGGATAATTATTACATCCTGTATAATAGAGGGGGGGATGATTATTTCCCTTGGTATAATGATAAGGATAATCACCACATCCTCTTGAAGAGAAACCTTTATACAAGTTAGTTCTATCTGCAGACAGCTGGACATAGCCAATTACTGACCGGCACAAGGCCTGTCCAGCCTTCATGTTTAGTAATAATTATGTACAGTATGAATCCGTGGTGTATCATCCATGGGTGCAAGATGTTCATGGGCCCCGAGAGTTGGAGGGCCCGCTGTGATGGGAACACCCTGCACCCATGGATGAGATGGATCAGGAGCAAAGTTTGGGATGATCAGTGCAGAGGAGGGACAGTTACAAGCATTGCTCTCCCTGTATGGCTTTCAATGAAGCAGCTGAAAGCTGATTCTCCTCCATCTATCCTTTTGGTGCTTCTAACTGTCCCCACTCCTGCACCTATCATCCCTGACTGCATCAGATTTCCCTTCTGGGCCCCCCCACCAGGTCTCTGATGCCTCATCTTCTCTCTGACACATCGCCCAGCCCCTCCCCCCCATCCTCTACAGCAATGGCAGAGCAGAGTTGAGAGCCAGGATCTGCTCTGCCTCCCCCTGTCCCCACCCACACTCCAGTCCATGCAGCTTCTGAGAAGAGGATGTATGGGCAGGAAACTGTGTACAGAGCAGATGGCAGCGGTGTGATGCTTCTGAATGGGCCAGCAAGCTGGGAACCATCCATGGGAGTCCATTCCCTTCCCTTTCTCCACTCCCCTTCCTTTCCTTCATTCATTCATTCCCTCTCTTTTCCTTTTCTTTTGTCTTCCTCCATCCACTTCCTCCCTTCCTTACTTTTTTCCTTCCTTTATTTTCTTCCTTCCTTCCTTCCTTTATCAATTCCCTTTCCTCCCTCCTTTTCTTCCTTCCCTCCTTTCTTCCTTTTCTCCCTTCCTCTTTTCCCTCTCCTCCCTTCTTTCCTTTTTCTTTTCCCTCCTCTCCCTTCTTTCCTTTCTCCATTTCCTCCCCTACGTTTCTACCTTCTTCCCTTCCTTCCTTTCTTCCTTCCTTCCTCCATCCACTCCCTCCTTTCCCCCCTCCCTCCCCTTCCTTAATTCCTTTTCTTCATCCATTCCCTCCCCTCCTTTCTTTCTTTCCTCCCTTCCTTTACATTCCTTCCTCTCCCTTTTTTCCTTCTTCCTTCCCTTTTTTCTTCCTCCATTCCTTCCTTCCTTCATCCCCTTCTTTCCCTTTCTCCCTTGCCTCTTTTCCTCCATCCATTCCCTTCCTTCCTCTATCCCCTCCCACCCTTCCTTTCTTCCTCTCTTCCTTCCTTCCTCCAATCCCCCCTCCCTTTTCTTCCTTCCTCCAGCTATCCCCCCATCCTTTTCATTCCTTCTTTCCTCCCTCCCCCCCTCCTTCCCCTCCCTCCCCTCCCTCCCTTTTTTTCCTTCCCTACTTTCTCCATCCTTTCCCTCCCTTTTCTTCCTTCACTTTTTCCTGCATTCTTTTCCTCCCTTTTCTTCCTTCCCTTCTTCTTCCATCCTTTCCCTCCCTTTTCTTCCTTCCCTTCTTCCTCCATCCTTTCCCTCCCTTTTCTTTCTTCCTTCTTTCCTTCATCCCCTCCTTTCCTTTATTTCTTCCTTCCTGTCCTTTCTTTCCTTAATTCCCTCTGTTTTTATCCTTCCTTCATCCCCTCTTTCTCCCTCCGTACCCTTCCTTCCTCCATCCAGTCCCTCCCTCCCTTTTCTTTCTTCCTTCCTTCATCCCCTTTCTTCCTTCCTCCATCCCCTTCCTTCCGTCCTTGCCTCCCTTCCTCCATCCATGATCTCCCTCCCTTTCTTTCCTTCCCCCAAATCTCTCTCCCTCCTCTTTCCTATTTTGTCCTCCAGCAATAGCATTCATGAGCGCCACCAAAGAAGTTTAGTTTTGTGACAGCAGCCTATGGTAGTAGTTGGTCCCATGTGGGAATATCTGATGAAACGTGGACTGTGATAGGGATGCATGATACAGAGAGGTACAGGTTCTGTTTATTCGTCCCAATCTAATGACAGCCCAATATATACTAGTGCTCCCTGTTCACTCCCTACTGACACTGTCCACTGCCCCCACAATATCATTGTGAAACAAATAATACAAAAATAAATTGTAAAAAATTATTAAAGTGAATAACAAAAAATAAAAAAAAATCTGACACCCAATCCATTGATCTATTACCATCATCCACTGGCCACCCAAAAGCGTTTTTTTTTCAAATGATAAAAATAATAAAACATTAAATTAAAAAAAAAATAATATTAATAATAAAAAAAGAATTACTGACACCATCCACTGCCCTACTGACACCATCCTGCATATATACTCCTCCATACACTTCTCACTCCTCTCCCTGTACAAGCTACCCACCGCCATACACTCCACACTGTACATTCCCTATTTAACATTACCATTACCACATTCTGCACTATGGAAGTAATCTCAGACACCCCTTTTAAGCCAGACACCATACCAGCAACTTCCCACACCCTGCAACACCATACCAACCACTTCCCACAGCCCGCAACACCATACCAGCAACTTCCCACACCCTGCAACACCATACCAACCACTTCCCACAGCCCGCAACACCATACCAGCAACTTCCCACACCCTGCGACACCATACCAGCCACTTTCCGCACCCCACAACACCACACCTTCCCACACCAACCCTACACCCACCACTGTTTACAGAATCCATTTGCTCAGCTTTTGCAGATTCCACTGGTGCCCCTACTCACTTTATCTGCCATCCTGCTTTATCAGAGAAACTTGTGAACAGCAGTACTTCTATTTCTTCTTATATTGGAGGTCTGCTGAGGGTGGAACCAGTCAGGAGGGAGGGATCACCCTGCCCAGTGCTCCCTGGACTGAGACCTTTTCCAGAACTGCTCATACAGAAAATGAATGAAAAGTGGATATGGTGTGACTGAGCATGAGTAATCCATTGTCACTCTGCTGGGATGTCACCACTGACCACAAACAGCAAGGTGGCAAAAGATGACTATCCTCACTGTCATTTCTATAACACAAGGGGTTGATTACTAAAACTGGAGAGTGCAAAATCTGGTGCAGCCGAGCATGGTAGCCAATCAGCTTCTAACTTCAGCTCGTTCAATTAAGCTTTGACAAAAGAAGCTAATATGTTTCTATGGTATAGAGAGATAAAGTGAGCTCTAGAAAAAAGCTGCTGTACACCGAAAGGCACCAATAAACCTCCAATAACAAATATAACACAGGAGCAATGCGGGCCGGCGGCCATCTTTTACACATCTCATGGTCAGTTGTTTTGTTTTTGTTTTTATCATGTCTCACTTTTTGGATCAATAAATCATCCTTTTAAACCAGTGGTTCTCAACCTTTCTAACGCCGTGACCCCTTAATACAGTTCCTCATGTTGTGGTGACCCCCAACCATAAAATTATTTTCGTTGCTACTTCAGAACTGTAATTTTGCAGTGGGAGGAATAGTGCCCCATCATTGGTATCAGTGGGAGGACTAGCGCCCCATCATTGGTATCAGTGGGAGGAATAGTGTCCCATCGTTGGTATCAGTGGGAGGAATAGTGTCCCGCCATTGGTGTCAGTGGGAGGAATAGTGCCCCATCATTGGTATCAGTGGGAGGACTAGCGCCCCATCACTAATGTCAGTGGGAGGAATAGTGTCCCATCGTTGGTATCAGTGGGAGGAATAGTGTCCCGCCATTGGTGTCAGTGGGAGGAATAGTGCCCCATCATTGGTATCAGTGGGAGGAATAGTGCCCCATCATTGGTATCAGTGGGAGGACTAGCGCCCCATCACTAATGTCAGTGGGAGGAATAGTGTCCCATCGTTGGTATCAGTGGGAGGAATAGTGCCCCATCGTTGGTGTCAGTGGGAGGAATAGTGCCCCATCATTGGTATCAGTGGGAGGAATAGTGCCCCATCATTGGTGTCAGTGGGAGGAATAGTGCCCCATCATTGGTGTCAGTGGGGGGAATAGTGCTCCATCATTGGTGTCAGTGGGAGGAATAGTGTCCCATCATTGGTGTCAGTGGGAGGAATAGTGCCCCATCATTGGTATCAGTGGGAGGAATAGTGCCCCATCATTGGTGTCAGTGGGAGGAATAATGCCCCATCATTGGTGTCAGTGGGGGGAATAGTGCTCCATCATTGGTGTCAGTGGGAGGAATAGTGTCCCATCATTGGTGTCAGTGGGAGGAATAGTGCCCCATCATTGGTATCAGTGGGAGGAATAGTGTCCCATCATTGGTGTCAGTGGGAGGAATAGTGCCCCATCATTGGTGTCAGTGGGAGGAATAGTGCCCCATCATTGGTGTCAGTGGGAGGAATAGTGCCCCATCATTGGTATCAGTGGGAGGAATAGTGCCCCATCATTGGTGTCAGTGGGAGGAATAGTGCCCCATCATTGGTATCAGTGGGAGGAATAGTGCTCCATCGTTGGTGTCAGTGGGGGGAGGAATAGTGCCCCATCGTTGGTGTCAGTGGGGGGAGGAATAGTGCCCCATCGTTGGTGTCAGTGGGGGGAGGAATAGTGCCCCATCGTTGGTGTCAGCGGGGGGAGGAATAGTGCCCCATCGTTGGTGTCAGCGGGGGGGGAGGAATAGTGCCCCATCGTTGGTGTCAGCGGGGGGAGGAATAGTGCCTATCGTTGGTGTCAGCGGGGGGAGGAATAGTGCCTATCGTTGGTGTCAGCGGGGGGAGGAATAGTGCCTATCGTTGGTGTCAGCGGGGGGAGGAATAGTGCCTATCGTTGGTGTCAGCGGGGGGAGGAATAGTGCCTATCGTTGGTGTCAGCGGGGGGAGGAATAGTGCCTATCGTTGGTGTCAGCGGGGGGAGGAATAGTGCCTATCATTGGTGTCAGTGGGGGGGGGGAGGAATAGTGCCTATCATTGGTGCC